GCCCAAAAGCAAAGACGCGTTTGCCAGCGAAGTATTGCACGATAATGGCGATTCAGCTCCAGTCAGAACACAGATTTAACTCGCTTTCTTGAAAAGCCCGACTCGACGCTTGGAGAAAGTCACTTGCCTGTTACTCAATTTTTCTATTTTCTTCATTTCAATCTTCCTTCTACCCAGTGTTTTCTTCTTCTCGACCACAATCTTTTCGCAGACAAAACAGTGATTTATTCAACAAATCAAATGTACATATAAGTAGAGAGACAGAGAGAGAATTTAAGGTTTTTCTTGTGCGTACTGTGCGAAAACGATAGAGAGAGAGAGGACGTGCGAAAGAGATGGTGCAATAAACGTACATATTTATAGGGTTAATTTTCAGGGGCTTGGAACTAAAGTATTATGGTAAGAAAATCAAATGAACTAATTCTGTAGCCGTTAATTTTATGGTAATAAACATTATTCAAACGGCTTTTTTCTGAAACAAATATCGCTACAGATTCTCTTCGCATTTTGAAAAGGACTTAATTGCGTGTTTTCATCTCGACTGGGAATGGCAATTTAGGGGTAGTAGTGATGGGACGCATTTGAATTTTCACAATTTCAAATAAAATTAAGTCATGTTTGATGTAACTTTTTAGTAAATTTTCTTAACAATTATGTTACATGTACTTCATTTTTTACAGCGTACCACGTGACGACACATAATTCGACAGTTTAAAAAAAAACACACACTTTTTCGCCCAACACTTTTTGAACTCCCACAGAATATACACAAAGATGTCACTTAACATTCTTCTTTTGATAAAATATATGGTTGAAAATTTGATAAAAATTATGGATTTCGTAAAATATGTGAGTAAAATATTTTTTTTTTAGCAACATCAAACAAGGGCTAATGATTTTATCCACCGTAATAAAAATTTTGAAACGATTCTAGTATAAATGTATTTACCCATAAGCGGAGGATTCAACTAAAAATTTTCATAGTTTTATCAATCGAAAAAATGTCGTTTGAAGAATGATTACTCTACGCATACCATAAATATGCTGCAATTAACTGCTATATAGTTAGTTTGAAATTCTTACCATAATATTTCCACAGAGAAATAGGAAACTTTAGTTCCAAGCCCCTGAAAATTAACCTATAAATATGTACATTTATCGCACCATCTCTTTAGCAATCTTTCATCTCTTTTTCTCACCGTTTGCATAAGAAAACCCTAAATTCTCTCTCTGCCTCTCTACTTATATATACATTTGATTTGATGAATAAATCAATGTTTTGTCTGCGAAAAGATGGTGGTCACAAAGAAGAAAACACCGGGTAGAAAGAAGATTGAAATGAAGAAAATAGAAAAATTGAGCAACAGGTGCAAGACTTTTTCCAAACGCCGAGTTGCACTTTTCAAGAAAGAGAGCGGAAATCTGTGTTCTAACGGGCGCTGAAATTGCCATTATCGTACAATCGTTACCTGGCAAACACGTCTTTACTTTTGGGCACTCCAGTGTGGATTCCATAATTGCTGGCTTTGAGAATGGAATTACTTTTGATGATTTTGTGAAAAACTACGCCAAAATGCCAGATTTTAAGAGGGATTATTATGAGGTTTCTGCAAAGTTGGAGGCGGAGAAGAGTCTCGAGCAAGGTGGGGTGAATGATGGTGATGGGTTCTGGTGGGACATGGAGGCGGAGGACTTTGAACTGGAAGAACTTGAGATGTGCAAGGCGGCGTTGGAGGAGTTGAAGAATTT